AGTATAACAAGCAGCCACTCTCTATGACAGAACAGAATAATGATAGTAGCCCTTTCCCAGGCTCGTATAACCTGAGCTAGGGCACGACACTAGAAACAGCATTTTCCTGCTAATGCAGTAATGTATCGTTTTGAAGAAGGGTGGCGTAGTTGAGGTTACAGCTTTAGTGTCACATACTTTCCTATGTTAATGGTTTCATTTGGGATATGATGGCAGGCTATTTTTCAAAATTAATTCAGTGCTTCACTTCTAGAAGTAAGTAGCTCAGTGTCCATTTCGCAAGTGCCTTCAGACGGCAGTGAACGAATATGTTTTCTTAACGAAAACTCATGCTCCTGACTAAATGTACTCCCATTCCCTTTTGGAACTCAAAATATGCAGTTCTGCCCCGATGGTATGATTAAAGACGTAGTTCGCGTTGATCCTACGGGTGAAGACATCCAACCGTTTTGCCATCCTCATTGGATCGTCCTTCTTCCGTGTTAGAAGAAGCGGCTAAGCCCGTCAATGAAGACGACAATGTGGTTGGCTATCCCGAGTAGTTCAGACTGTGCTTCTGAATGCCATAAGGAGTTCGATAAATGCTGTTCGCCGCAGTGCGCGTTCCGAAAGTTATCACAAGAATGCTGAGTTATGGGCAAAAGTCAGACCACGGACGGGATTCGAACCCGCATCTTCCGCTCATCGGGCGGTTGCGTTGTCGATCACGCTACGGGGCCGCTCTAACCTTCTCAGTCGGTAAAGGTTCTACGGGGTCGTCTCACAATATGCAACCCTAAAGAACCTTAACAGTCGGTGTATGACCATAACATCCTAGTGACAGACATTTCAATAATGCTTAAACTTGGGAATGACCTTTATGAGATTTCAGTATCCAACCTGCTTGATTCGATGCCGTTCAGTTGCCTGATTGAAACATGCTGGACAGTTCTCTGCTACTACAGGAAGTCCTTTAGATTCAGCAAATTCACGCAAAGCTTTCTCACGAACGAATATGAGCGGTCGAATCACTCGCAGCGTACCATCACTGGAAACAGCTGGTAATAAAAATAGAACCTAATAGGATAGGAACAATGGAACTGTGCCTGAACTAAAATTCACCGTGTTTGATATTGTGCTTTCATTGTACTCAGATTCCCGTTCTGGAAAGCAGCGATGAAGAAACTGAAACGGATAGGTAACTTAAAAAATAGGTGTACTGCATCCTGATTGCCAACCTATTAAATTTACAGTTGACTTTAGCAGTGACAGCTTAGTGACTGGTAAACGGTGCCCAGTATAGTAATATTCACCAGTAATATCCAACAAGAATAAGGGCATGAAGCGACCACACAGGATTACTACTGAACTCACATGTCTGAAAATTTGACTAAAACCTTCGAATGGTCAGTCACTGGTCAAACCAGTGGTTGTTATCGAGTTATCGAATTATCATACTGAATTCGAATTATCATGATGACGCGAGTTCCTGGTGGCACCGATCCTATTAAGAGCACCCCCGAAAACAACACTGAACTCCATATAAACAGTCCTCTGATGGATGACCATCACTCAGCTCCAACCATGGATTCTTGCTCTCCTCGCTAGTGCCCTAAAGGCACGCTCCACGATTATTCTGGCACCACCCATAATATATGGACACCAGATCTGTTGATCTACGGTCTTCACCTCTCTCGTTCTTCGTTTGCGCAACCTCTCTCCCATGCGCTCAGTCTCTCTTCCACTTCTCACCTACTCCTTTCTCTTTTGCAGGTCTTCGGGACCTATACCATTGTTCCGTCAAGAAGGAGAAGTATTTTTAGACAAAGGTAAAGAAAGTGATTTTAGGTTCTAGTCGCTATGACGCTCACCATGCTATGTCTGCTTCTAATCTCGCCCCTTGTCAACGCCGCACCACACTGGGATCAAGAATCCTCCGCTCCAGACACTTTCCTATCAGATCGAAGCCGTATCCAGCAGCCATCAGGAGGACAACGCAAAATCTCCATGGCAAACTTGCTCGACCAAAACACAGCGTTCAGTAGGGCTGGTCTTGATTATTACCTCGATATTCTGAACGACTACAGAGGTGAGCCATCATTTCGAAGACAGTACCTTCTCTTGCTCCATCGCCTCCTGCTGGCGACACGCAGAGGAATTTTTTTGATAGCTTGAGCTTCGAGGAATGTGAGCCTTTCTCTCAATATTGGACCACCTTAGGATGACGCATGTTCTTCAAGCAAACTGCAGAATCTTAACAGCGTCGGATTGGCTCCTCTCCATACGCGGGGTGAATCTAAGAAAGAAAGACAGTAGGCGGCATTCAGAAACAAAGGTACACTTCATGCCGATCGTACGACGGCGGAGAGAGAGAGTCACTCACTGACGGGATAATCCTATGACAACTGCGCTCCAAAGTCTATTACTAGCTCTACTCGTGGACGAGTTTTCTCGCCCGGCGCAGTGTGCTTACAACTCCGTCCTAACCATAAGAACTTAACGCAATCTCTCAAGAAGGTTAGAGCAAAAAAGCTTCTACAGAAGCTGGTGAAAGGTGAATGTGATGGTGCACCTAGAATACAGAGAGTCACCAATAGACCTAAGGCACTGTTATCATAGCTTAGAATTGATTACTACAGAAGCCAAAGTCCCATGTAATTCTCCCAGGAGGAAAGGGACTGTATCTCTGAGAGTTGGTGGGAATTCTCTTGTCAAGTGAAGAAATCATGTCCATATTTCATCGAAAGACTGTCAACCGCACTTAGTTTCAGATTATGTTCCCAAGGAGGTCCGAATGATCTTCACAGGAGTAAGTTTTACACACGCAATTATTCATCTAACCTCCTACACCTATAGGCACATTGATCGAGTCACTCTGACCATCGCTTTTCTCATTGGTGCACCCCATCAACTATAACGGCAGAGGGAGGGGCGCATTAGTGAGGAAGGCGCGATTATTCAAGTGTAGTTTGTGACATCGCCGTCAGTCGGGACGGAGTGAGGCGGGTTGGATGAGACCACCTTCGTTAACCTTGTCCACCAATGGCGATCGGGTAGTGATCAAAGCGGGAAGAAAACAACCAATGGTGGAAACACCATAGCGGGAGACGGCTGGTTGCGACCTGATTGCGGCGTTATCAACTGCAACTCCACCCACACGAATTACCACCGCATGTTCATCTAACTTCCCATATAGAAAAGTAGGTTCACAGGAACGCCAAGCGGCGTTTACGTAGAACACGTATTAGATGCGGACGTATGGGATTAACTCCGTTCGAGACACGTGATCATATTGCCTCTTTTTATTCAGGACATGGACAAATTTTTGGCGCAGTCGTTCGTTGATAGCTGATATCGTAGCGATCCAA